CTGGGGGAGCTGGCAGAGCTTGTACAGGTGAGCAGGGGGCAGGTGGGAGGGCAGGGGGCAGGGAGCTACCCCCGGAGCTCTGGGGGAGCTGCAGAGCTTGTAGAGGTGAGCAGGGGCCTGGTGGGAGGGCAGGGGGCAGGGAGCTATCCCTGGAGCTCTGGGGGAGCTGGCAGAGCTTGTACAGGTGAGCAGGGGGCTGGTGGGAGGGCAGGGGACAGGGAGCTGTCTCTGGAGCTCTGGGGGAGCTGGCAGAGCTTGTATAGGTGAGCAGGGGGCAGGGAGCTGTCCCTGGAGCTCTGGGGGAGCTGGCAGAGCTTGTAGAGGTGAGCAGGGGGCAGGTGGGAGGGCAGGGGGCAGGGAGCTGTCCCTGGAGCTCTGGGGGAGCTGGCAGAGCTTGTACAGGTGAGCAGGGGGCTGGTGGGAGGGCAGGGGACAGGGAGCTGTCTCTGGAGCTCTGGGGGAGCTGGCAGAGTTTGTATAGGTGAGCAGGGGCCAGGGAGCTGTCCCTGGAGCTCTGGGGGAGCTGGCAGAGCTTTTACAGGTGAGCAGGGGGCAGGTGGGAGGGCAGGGGGCAGGTAGCTGTCTCTGGAGCTCTGGGGGAGCTGGCAGAGCTGTGCAGGTGAGCAGGGGGCTGGTGGGAGGGCAGGGGACAGGTAGCTGTCTCTGGAGCTCTGGGGGAGCTGGCAGAGCTTGTATAGGTGAGCAGGGGGCAGGGAGCTGTCTCTGAAGCTCTGGGGGAGCTGGCAGAGCTTTTACAGGTGAGCAGGGGACAGGTGGGAGGGCAGGGGGCAGGTAGCTGTCTCTGGAGCTCTGGGGGAGCTGGCAGAGCTGTGCAGGTGAGCAGGGGGCTGGTGGGAGGGCAGGGGGCAGGGAGCTGTCCCTGGAGCTCTGGGGGAGCTGGCAGAGCTTGTACAGTTGAGCAGGGGCTGGTGGGAGGGCAGGGGGCAGGGAGCTGTCTCTGGAGCTCTGGGGGAGCTGGCAGAGCTTGTACAGGTGAGCAGGGGGCAGGGAGCTGTCTCTGGAGCTCTGGGGGAGCTGGCAGAGCTTGTACAGGTGAGCAGGGGGCAGGTGGGAGGGCAGGGGGCAGGGAGCTGTCCCTGGAGCTCTGGGGGAGCTGGCAGAGCTTGTACAGGTGAGCAGGGGGCAGGTGGGAGGGCAGGGGGCAGGGAGCTACCCCCGGAGCTCTGGGGGAGCTGCAGAGCTTGTAGAGGTGAGCAGGGGCCTGGTGGGAGGGCAGGGGGCAGGGAGCTGTCCCTGGAGCTCTGGGGGAGCTGGCAGAGCTTGTACAGTTGAGCAGGGGGCTGGTGGGAGGGCAGGGGACAGGGAGCTGTCTCTGGAGCTCTGGGGGAGCTGGCAGAGCTTGTATAGGTCAGCAGGGGGCAGGGAGCTGTCCCTGGAGCTCTGGGGGAGCTGGCAGAGCTTGTATAGGTGAGCAGGGGGCAGGTGGGAGGGCAGGGGGCAGGGAGCTGTCCCTGGAGCTCTGGGGGAGCTGGCAGAGCTTGTACAGGTGAGCAGGGTGCTGGTGGGAGGGTAGGGGGCAGGGAGCTGTCCCTGGAGCTCTGGGGGAGCTGGCAGAGCTTGTACAGGTGAGCAGGGGGCTGGTGGGAGGGCAGGGGACAGGGAGCTGTCTCTGGAGCTCTGGGGGAGCTGGCAGAGTTTGTATAGGTGAGCAGGGGGCAGGGAGCTGTCCCTGGAGCTCTGGGGGAGCTGGCAGAGCTTGTACAGTTGAGCAGGGGGCTGGTGGGAGGGCAGGGGGCAGGGAGCTGTCTCTGGAGCTCTGGGGGAGCTGGCAGAGCTTGTACAGGTGAGCAGGGGCCAGGGAGCTGTCCCTGGAGCTTTGGGGGAGCTGGCAGAGCTAGTACAGGTGAGCAGGGGACAGGTGGGAGGGCAGGGGGCAGGTAGCTGTCTCTGGAGCTCTGGGGGAGCTGGCAGAGCTGTGCAGGTGAGCAGGGGACAGGTGGGAGGGCAGGGGACAGGGAGCTGTCTCTGGAGCTCTGGGGGAGCTGGCAGAGCTTGTATAGGTGAGCAGGGGGCAGGGAGCTGTCTCTGGAGCTCTGGGGGAGCTGGCAGAGCTTTTACAGGTGAGCAGGGGACAGGTGGGAGGGCAGGGGGCAGGTAGCTGTCTCTGGAGCTCTGGGGGAGCTGGCAGAGCTGTGCAGGTGAGCAGGGGGCTGGTGGGAGGGCAGGGGGCAGGGAGCTGTCCCTGGAGCTCTGGGGAGCTGGCAGAGCTTGTACAGGTGAGCAGGGGGCTGGTGGGAGGGCAGGGGGCAGGGAGCTGTCTCTGGAGCTCTGGGGGAGCTGGCAGAGCTTGTATAGGTGAGCAGGGGCCAGGGAGCTGTCCCTGGAGCTCTGGGGGAGCTGGCAGAGCTTGTACAGGTGAGCAGGGGACAGGTGGGAGGGCAGGGGGCAGGTAGCTGTCTCTGGAGCTCTGGGGGAGCTGGCAGAGCTGTGCAGGTGAGCAGGGGGCTGGTGGGAGGGCAGGGGACAGGTAGCTGTCTCTGGAGCTCTGGGGGAGCTGGCAGAGCTTGTATAGGTGAGCAGGGGGCAGGGAGCTGTCTCTGGAGCTCTGGGGGAGCTGGCAGAGCTTGTACAGGTGAGCAGGGGACAGGTGGGAGGGCAGGGGGCAGGTAGCTGTCTCTGGAGCTCTGGGGGAGCTGGCAGTGCTGTGCAGGTGAGCAGGGGGCTGGTGGGAGGGCAGGGGGCAGGGAGCTGTCCCTGGAGCTCTGGGGGAGCTGGCAGAGCTTGTACAGGTGAGCAGGGGCCAGGGAGCTGTCCCTGGAGCTCTGGTGGAGCTGGCAGAGCTTGTAGAGGTGAGCAGGGGGCTGGTGGGAGGGCAGGGGGCAGGTAGCTGTCTCTGGAGCTCTGGGGGAGCTGGCAGAGCTTGTACAGGTGAGCAGGAGGCTGGTGGGAGGGCAGGGGACAGGGAGCTGTCTCTGGAGCTCTGGGGGAGCTGGCAGAGCTTGTATAGGTGAGCAGGGGCCAGGGAGCTGTCCCTGGAGCTCTGGGGGAGCTGGCAGAGCTTGTGCAGGTGAGCAGGGGGCTGGTGGAAGGGCAGGGGGCAGGGAGCTGTCTCTGGAGCTCTGGGGGAGCTGGCAGAGCTTGTACAGGTGAGCAGGGGACAGGTGGGAGGGCAGGGGGCAGGTAGCTGTCTCTGGAGCTCGGGGGGAGCTGGCAGAGCTGTGCAGGTGAGCAGGGGGCTGGTGGGAGGGCAGGGGCCAGGGAGCTGTCCCTGGAGCTCTGGGGGAGCTGGCAGAGCTTGTGCAGGTGAGCAGGGGGCAGTTGAGAGGGCAGGGAGCTGTCTCTGGAGCTCTGGGGCAGCTGGCAGAGCTGTGCAGGTGAGCAGGGGGCTGGTGGGAGGGCAGGGGGCAGGGAGCTGTCTCTGGAGCTTGGGGGAGCTGGCAGAGCTTGTACAGGTGAGCAGGGGGCAGTTGGGAGGGCAGGGAGCTGTCTCTGGAGCTCTGGGGGAGCTGGCAGAGCTGTGCAGGTGATCAGGGGGCAGGAGGCAGGGAGCTGCCTCAGGAGCTCAGTGTATGAAAGGGCTGAGGTGAACAGCTGAGGAGAGGGATCTTAGGCAGTGTGGGTATGTCGTGTTGGCCAGGCTGGGGTCAGAGGAGGACACTGTAGCTCTGGCAGAGCCTGAGGACCTTAGTCCAGAAATAGGGTACCTGGCGCCACGGCCTGCAGGATTTCAGGGTCATGGCTCCAGATGGCGGTGCTGAGGCCACAGGGCGGGAGGGCTGGGCCTCAGCTGGCCAAACTGGGCTTCAGGTGGGCAAAGGCGAGACTGCATGGGCAGTTGGCCTGAGCTCCCCTGCGGGTCCAGGAAGCAGGACAGCGGTGGGGACAGGGAAGGCTTGTGGGGAGCAGCCGGGGGAGGTGAGCTGCAGGGCACTGAGAGGCCGAGCACCCCAGGCGGCAGGCAGAGCCTGTGCCCCTGGCTGGGGGACAGAAGGGCAGAGGTCAGTGCCAGGAGCTCGGGGACCAGGGCAGAGTGGGGACTGAGCAGAGAAGGAGCAGAGACCGATGAGGGCTGGGCCATGAGCCTCCCTGCGGAGAGAGCCCGAGGGGCCAGGTGGGCCGGGCACAGAAAGCAGGGGTTAAGAGCGCACCGTCGCAGAAGGCTCTGGGAGAAAGGGGCATGAGGACCCCTGAGGAGACCAAGAGGGCCGCAGTTTCTGGGCCCAGAGGCACCAGTCCTGTTGCAGGGACCTGTGGGGAGGTGCTGAAACAGGATGGGGTGGCACCGTTCAGGGCCTGCGCCAGGGCGTCCAGCCTGCCGTGGGAGTGGGGAGAGTGGGAGGGGGAGGGGCAGCAGGGCAGGCCCTGGGGCCGGGCTGCTGGAGCCAGGATCAGGGGACAGGCCTGGCCTTGAGGTGGCGTGTGCCTTGGCCACAGTGGGGTCAGGGCACTGATGCCAAGGCCAGTGCCAGACTCCAAGCCATGCTGAGGAGCGGCTGGGCTCAGAGAGGACCAGGGCAGGAGGTCTCTGGACTGAGAAAGAGCTGGGGTGGCCGAGGACACGGCGGCTGGTGGGAAGGAACGCGGTGAGCCCCAGAAGCCTGCCGCAAGGACCCAGGGGAGCCTGCAAGGCCGAGGCAGATTGAGCAGCCTGGGCTGGGGGGCCACAGGGCCGAGGAAAGAGCCTCCCAGGGACAGAATCCAGGGCAGAGAGCAGACACGGCAGGGGCTCCTGGCAGAGGCCCACCGCACCTGAGGGGAACAGAGAAAGTCAGGCAGAAATAGGAGCCACAGGTCAGGGCTCAGCAGGCTCAGTGAGGACAGGGGCTGGGGCGGAGGGGACTCACCCAGCCTCACCCAGCGCTGGCTGAGATAAGCCAGCACCCACAGCTGCAAAGGCATGAGGCCCTGGGTGGCAGAGAGCCACACGGGCAGCTGGTCTGCAGACTTCTGGAAGCTATTGGCCATGGGCACTGGGCTCAGCGCTGTCCCAGGCCTGGGCACCTGGCAGCCTGGCAGTCACATGGCCCCCTCTCTTGCAGCCTCCACCAAGGCCCCGTCGGTCTTCCCGCTGGCCCCCAGCTGTAAAGACACACCCGGCTCCACAGTGTCCCTGGCCTGCCTTGTCTCTGGCTACTTCCCTGAGCCAGTGACTGTGTCCTGGAACTCCGGCGCCCTGACCAGCGGTGTGCACACCTTCCCATCCGTCCTGCAGTCCTCCGGGCTCTACTCTCTGAGCAGCATGGCGACAGTACCCACCAGCAGCTGGTCCAGCCAGACCTACACCTGCAATGTAGCCCACCCGGCCAGCAGCACCAAGGTGGACAAGACCGGTGAGAACACAGCCACAGAGCGGGTGTCCACTAAGAGACAGGCCCAGGCAGCCTCCTGCCTGGACAGACCACAGAGCAGGGGTAGTTGCCCCCACCTGAGGGCCTCCCAAGCTCGAGGAGGGGTCCTCTGGGCATTTTCACCAGGGTTAGGATGGGCACACGCTCTGGGGCCACAGAGGTGTTTGCTGGGCTCAGACCTGCCAAACCCTAACCCTGACCTGAGCCCACCCCCAGGGCCATGCCCTCCCAGGCCCCAGTAACACTCTGTCTGTTCTCCCTGCAGTGCCCAAAGGGAACAGACCCGAAAAACCTTGCAAATGCCCAGGTGAGTAGAGCACCCCAAGCAGAAATCCTGACCTCAGGTGTGGCCCATGGGGGGACAAGTGCCTGGGCGAGGTCTTCCTAAGTGCTAACCCTGTCCACTGTGTCTCCCCCACCAGCTTGTCCAAACCTGGGAGGGCCCTCGGTCTTCATCTTTCCCCCACACCCCAAGGACACCCTCATGATCGCCCGGACTCCCAAGGTCACGTGTATGGTGGTTGACGTGGCCACAGAAGACCTCGAAGTTGAGTTCACCTGGTTCGTGGACGACGTAAAGATGGACACGGTGAAAACGAAGGCCCAGGAAGAGCAGTTCAACAGCACGTACCGCGTGGCCAATTCCTTCACCGTCTCGCACCAGGACTGGCTGAAGGGCAAGGAGTATAAGTGCAAGGTCAACAACAAGGCCCTGCCGGCCCCCATCGAGAGGACCATCTCCAAGGCCAAAGGTGGGGGCAGCAGACAGGCAAGGGGTGGGTTTTGGGAGGCCAGCCCTCTACCTGGGAGTGACCATCTGTGCTGACCCCATCCCACAGGGCAAGTCCGGGAGCCACAGGTGTACACCCTGCCCCCACACCCAGACGAGCTGACCAAGGACACAGTCAGCGTGACCTGCCTGGTCAAAGACTTCTACCCAGCGGACATCAGTGTGGAGTGGCAGAGCAGCGGGCAGCCAGAGCCGGAAAACAAGTACATCGAGACCCCGCCCCAGGAGGACGAGAACAACTCCTACTTCCTGTACAGCAAGCTCACTGTGGACAAGAACAGGTGGCAGCAGGGGGTGGTTTTCACGTGCGCGGTGATGCACGAGGGCCTGCACAATCACTACACCCAGAAGACCGTCTCCCAAAACCCGGGTAAATGAGCTGTGCGCCCGGCTCCCCGCACCCCCACCCGTGTACATACCCTTGGGCACCCAGCATTAAATAAAGCACCCAGCGCTGCCCTGGGACCCTGCGACACTGTCATGGTTCTTTCCGAGGCAGAGCTCAGGCCTGGCTCTGGGGCTGGTTGTCACCATTAAGGAGAAAGAGCTGGCCCCACTGGGGCAGGATTCAGAGCCTGTAGGTCTGCAGGTGCCCAGGACAGGGGATGGGGCTTCTGGGCAGAGGCTGTTCCTCAGGCCCACCCCAGCCAGCATCTACGCTGGACTGGAGCTGTGGACAGGGGACAGGAGAAGCCCCTCCCCAGCCCCTCAGGGATATGAGGGCCCACTTCGCCCCACCTCTGAACAAGCTTGGCTGTGGGACAGCCTGTCTCCAGGGTTCCTTGTCCACTGGGTCTCTCTGGGGCTCTGTGAGGTGGCTCTGTACCCACATAGGAGGCATGCGTGGCCCAGGGTGTTGGGACAGGCCCTCCATGCCCTCAAGACCAAGCCTCCCACCCTCCCGCAGGCGAGGGGTCTCTGCCTGGCTTTGTCCTGCCTGGGGCCAGGCCTGTCCACTCAAGAGGGCACTCACCCTATTGCCCCAAAGGGGCAGAGGCAGGTAGCCCTGGGGTCCCAAGAGAGGGACTGTCCAGATGCCCACATGGACACTGAGCCCAAACCCATTGAAAACAAGTCACCCCCACTGACCAGCACCAGCTCAGGTGGCCACCTTCACACATACACACACATGAACACTCTCATGCACACACAGACACGCCTTACACTGTGGGGCTTCCCACAAGGCACCCTGCATAGGACCAAGCCAGAGAACAGAGAGGGTCCTGTGAACCCTCACCATAGACACCACCCCCACCTGGCCCCACTCCCTCCAGTGCCCCAGGGGTAACTCAGCACCTTATCCCCCAACTGAACAGCTCAGACAGCCCCTCCTCCTCCTCAGCACACCTACCACCATCCCCAACATGCAGAAACATCCCCACCACACCTCACCCGCCCTCAGACCTGCCCCTTGTCCCAGCACTCCCACATTGACCTGGTGCTGACCCCTCTCCAGGCAGGGCCCCTCGCACCCTCCGACCCCCAGGGGGAGTAGGCAGAGGACCTGGTGGACTGCAGAGCAGGCTGGACTGTGGGGCCAGCCCACCTTGTCCCCACAGGGCCCAGTGCAGGTGGCAGAGAGGAGATGGGACAGCCCCAGGCCAGGCTGAGACCTGAGGCCCAAGGTGGAGGATGGGGGAGCTGGGCACCACTGGCCCAGCCTGGCAGGACCTCCCACCCTGGCACAGAAAGAATCCCCAGGCCCCACTAGCCCCATGCCAGTCCACCACGGCCACGAGCACTGACCACCTGCTCCCCTGTCCAGAGCTGCTCCTGGATGAGAACTGTTCAGAGGCCCAGGTCGGGGAGCTGGACGGGCTGTGGACCACCATCTCCATCTTCATCACCCTCTTCCTGCTCAGCGTGTGCTACAGTGCCACCGTCACCCTCTTCAAGGTGGGCCCAGTCCCCACGCTGTCACCGTGCTGTCCCCGTGCTGTCCACATGCCATCCACGTGCTGTCCCAGTGCTGTCCGCATGCCATCCACGTGCTGTCCCCATGCTGTCCACATGCCATCCACGTGCTGTCCCCGTGCTGTCCACATGCCATCCACGTGCTGTCCCAGTGCTGTCCACATGCCATCCACGTGCTGTCCCCATGCTGTCCACATGCCATCCACGTGCTGTCCCCGTGCTGTCCACATGCCGTCCACGTGCTGTCCCCATGCTGTCCGCATGCCATCCACGTGCTGTCCCCATGCTGTCCGCATGCCATCCACGTGCTGTCCCCATGCTGTCCACATGCCATCCACGTGCTGTCCCAGTGCTGTCCACATGCCGTCCACGTGCTGTCCCCATGCTGTCCGCATGCCATCCACGTGCTGTCCCAGTGCTGTCCACATGCCATCCACGTGCTGTCCCAGTGCTGTCCACATGCCATCCACGTGCTGTCCCTGTGCTGTCCACACACCATCCACATGCTGTCCCCATGCCGTCCACATGCCATCCACATGCTGTCCCCATGCCGTCCACACGCCATCCACATGCTGTCCCCACGCTGTCCTCATGATGTCCCAGTGATTTTCCCATGATATCGCCATGCCATACCCATAATTTTCTTATGCTGTCCCCACCATGTCCTCCTCACTATTTCCACACTGTCCCACAGTCTCACACTGTCCCCACACTGTCCCACATCGTCCCACACTGTTTCACACTGTCCCACACTGTCTTACACTGTCCCCACACTGTTCTACATTGTCTCCACTGTCTCACACTGTCCCACACTGTCCACACTGTCTGACACTCTCTTCCACTGTCTCACACTGTCCCACACTGTCTCACACTGTCCCACACTCTCTTCCACTGTCCCACACTGTCCCACACTGTCTCACACTGTCCCACACTCTCTTACACTGCTCCACACTCCTCCCTGTCCCACACTGTCCACACGTCCCCACACTCTCTTCCACTGTCCCACACTCTCTTCCACTGTCCCACACTGTCTCACACTGTCCCACACTCTCTTCCACTGTCCCACACTGTCCCACACTGTCTCACACTGTCCCACACTCTCTTCCACTGTCCCACACTGTCCCACACTGTATCACACCGTCCCACACTCTCTTCCACTGTCCCACACTGTCTCACACTGTCCCACACTCTCTTCCACTGTCCCACACTGTCTCACACTGTCCCACACTGTCTCACACTGTCCCACACTGTCCCACACTGTCTCACACTGTCCCACACTCTCTTCCACTGTCCCACACTGTCTCACACTCTCCCACACTCTCTTCCACTGTCCCACACTGTCTCACACTGTCCCACACTCTCTTCCACTGTCCCACACTGTCTCACACTCTCCCACACTCTCCCACACTGTCCCACACTGTCCCACCCTTCCCACACTGTCCCACACTGTCCCACACTGTCTCACCCTGTCCCACACTGTCTCACACTGTCCCACACTGTCCCACACTGTCCCACACTGTCCCACACTGTCTCACACTGTCTCACACTGTCTCACACTCTCCCACACTCTCTTCCACTGTCCCACACTGTCTCACACTGTCCCACACTGTCTCACCCTGTCCCACACTGTCTCACCCTGTCCCACACTGTCCCACCCTGTCCCACACTGTCCCACACTGTCTCACACTGTCTCACACTGTCTCACACTCTCCCACACTCTCTTACACTGTCCCACACTGTCTCACACTCTCCCACACTCTCTTCCACTGTCCCACACTGTCTCACACTCTCCCACACTCTCTTACACTGTCCCACACTGTCTCACACTCTCCCACACTCTCTTCCACTGTCCCACACTCTCTTACACTGTCCCACACTGTCTCACACTCTCCCACACTCTCTTCCACTGTCCCACACTGTCTCACACTCTCCCACACTCTCTTACACTGTCCCACACTGTCTCACACTGTCCCACACTCTCCCACAACTCTCCTTCCACTGTCCCACCTGTCTCACACGCTTCCCACACTCTCTTCCCACTGTCCCACACTGTCTCACACTGTCCCACACTGTCTCACACTCTCCCACACTTCCTCTTCCCCCTGTCCCACACTGTCTCACATCGCCCACACTCTCTTCCACTGTCCCCCCCCCACTGTTCTCAGCACTCTCCCACACTCTCTTACACTGTCCCACACTGTCTCACACTCTCCCACACTCTCTTACACTGTCCCACACTGTCTCACACTCTCCCACACTCTCTTCCACTGTCCCACACTGTCCCACACTCTCCCACACTCTCTCTCAATGTCCAGCACTTCTCACCACTCCCGTCTTCCACCTTCTCTTAACTGTCCCACACTGTCCCCACACTGTCCCACACTCTTCCACACTCTCTTCCACTGTCCCACACTGTCTCACACTGTCCCCACCCCTCTCTTCCACTGTCCCACACTCTCTTACACTGTCCCACACTGTCTCACACTCTCCCACACTCTCTTACACTGTCCCACACTGTCTCACACTCTCTTCCACTGTCCCACACTGTCCCACACTCTCCCACACTCTCTTCCACTGTCCCACACTGTCCCACACTCTCCCACACTCTCTTCCACTGTCCTACACTGGTCTCACCCTCTCCAACAATCTCTTACACGTCCACCACTGTCTCAACCTCTTCCCACACTCTCTTTACACTGTCCCACACTGTTCCCCACCTCTCTTCCACTTTCCCACACTGCGTCCCACACTCTCTCCCACACGCTCTTCCACTGTCCCACACTGTCCACACTCTCCCACAACTCTCTTCCACTGTCCCACACTGTCTCACACTTCGCCCCACTCCTCTTATCACTGTCCCACCCTGTCTCACCCTGTCCCACACTGTCTCACACTGTCCCACACTGTCCCACACTGTCTCACACTGTCCCACACTGTCCCATACTGTCCCACACTGTCCCACACTGTCCCACCCTTCCCACCCTGTCCCACACTGTCCCACACTGTCCCACCCTTCCCACCCTTCCCACACTGTCCCACACTGTCCCACACTGTCCCACACTGTCCCACCCTATCCCACACTGTCTCACACTGTCCCACACTGTCTCACCCTGTCCCACACTGTCCCACACTGTCCCACCCTGTCCCACACTGTCTCACACTGTCCCACACTGTCTCACCCTGTTCCACACTGTCTCACCCTGTCCCACACTGTCCCACACTGTCCCACCCTGTCCCACACTGTCTCACCCTGTCCCACACTGTCTCACCCTGTCCCACACTGTCCCACACTGTCCCACCCTGTCCCACACTGTCCCACACTGTCTCACACTGTCTCACCCTGTCCCACACTGTCCCACACTGTCCCACCCTGTCTCACCCTGTCCCACACTGTCCCACACTGTCCCACACTGTTTAATACTGTTCCATACTGTCCCCCTCACTGTCCTCACACATTCTCCACACTGTCCCCCTCACTGTTGTCCCACTGTCCCCCACACATTCCCCATGGTGTCCCCCCATTGTTTCACACTGTTCCCACACTGCCCCACCTGGCCCTCCCCTGCCCTGAGGAGGCTGACATGGGTCCCGTGCACTCGCCCCTGCAGGTGAAGTGGATCTTCTCCTCGGTGGTGGAGCTGAAGAGAACCATCGTCCCTGACTACAGGAACATGATCGGACAGGGGGCTTAGCACCACCCCTCCTGGGCAAGCATCCAGGGCTGCCCCAGACCTCGCACAGGACCAGGTCCGCTGGTTCATGCTGCTCGACCTGCTGCCCATGCCTGCTCCTCCTCCTTCTGACCTCAGTGCCCTCTGACCTCTCTACCCTCTGACCCCACGGCCACCCTAGGCTTGCACCTCCACCCTCTGGCCTCACAACTATCACAGGTTGCATCTGCCCTGTGACCCACCCCTCTGGAGAACCAAGTGGAGAGCAGGTCCCATCCCAACCTGAGCTGAAGGACACCCACCAGCCCCTCCATGGCAGCCGCCAAGACACCACCAAGAGCCCTGTGGACACCAGGGGCATCAGGGCCAGTGCCCTCTCCCAGGTTGTCACTGCCTAGGGTCAGTGTGTAGGTCCATCCTGAAGGAGACAGAGGCCCTGAATTCCAAGGGTCCATCAGGCAGGATCCAGGAGGCAAGGTTCCTGGGAAAATTCTGAGTACCCCACCAGGGAAGCTTTGGGATGCGCCCTAATGGTCACTCAGATCGCCTCTACCAGAGGAGACCTGAGGAGGAGGGTCTGGACCAGGGCTGCAGGGCGGTACCACCTCGGAGGGGTGGGTATCCAGCCACAAGTCTCCTGGGGAGGGGCTTAGTTACCAGATCACCAAGCAGGGGGGACCCAGCCTCAGTGGACAGAGGAGGTCAAGAGACATGGGTGTTGAGGTGCAGAGCACCAGAGAGCAGTGAAACAATGGGCCTGAGTCCCACCCACTCACCCTTCCCAGGGTCCCCCTGCTCCGGTTGCGGGGGGCTAAGAGCCAAGAGAACCGAATGGTGCATGCCCCCTGCCTTGGGGACCCAACAGGGTGGTTGGATGTCCTGATCTTCAGGGAGTGCCAAGTCAGCATGTCTAGATGGGAAGGAGGGAGACGCAGACCCCATGACCACAGGGGACGCACAGAGAGAGACTACTCAACTCTTTTCTTTTTAATTTTCTGGAGCCCACTGATGTTCTTTACTGTTTTTGTTTGTGTGTTTGTTTTTAATGATAATAAAACTTCTTTAAAATTTCTATAATTCACTGGGAGTCTTGTGCTCATACATCTCATGAAATCCACAACCTGGCTGAGTCACGCGCCGGGGGTCCTTCACGTTCTCCCAGCACCCGAACCTGCCAGCTCTCCATCTCCTCCTGTCCTCCACCCTGCAGCCAGGGTCCAGCAGGTGAGGAAGGGGGCCCAGAAACAAGGGGGCACAGGAGGCGCCTGGGGCTGGGGGCAGGACTGGTCTTGGCCAGAAGCAAGACACACATGTTGGGTGTGTCAGTCAGCACAGACAGGCGGCGGTAACTGTGTGCATAGACTCTCCCTCGGGCCTGGAGTCAGAGGGCCCAGAGCAGGTGGTGCAGGCTGGTTCCTCCAAGGCCTCTGTCCTTGGCGTGTGGATGGCCACCTTCTCCGTGTCCTCACGTGGCCGTCCCTCTGTGTGTCTGTGTCCTGATCTCCTCTTGCAAGAACATCAGTCAGACTGGATCAGGACCCACCCTGATTGCCTCGTTTTAATTTATTACCTCTTAAAAGACCCTATTTCCAAATACAGTCATGTTCTGAGGTGCTGAGAGTTAGGACCTCAACATGTAGATTTAGGGGACACAGTGCATCCACAAGCAGGTTGTGGGTACCAGGAATGAGAGCCAGGTGCAGTGCCAGGAAGGCCAGGCCAGGAGGAGCAGAGTTGGTGAATGAAGCCAGATACCTGCTCCAGAGTCAGGACACCTTCAGGCAGCAGGGATTCATCAGGAAGGTGGTCGTGTGACCTGAATCAGACTCGGGTTTGCACAAGGGAGTCGGATATTTTCCAGGGAGGATGAGGGGCCAGCAGGTTCCAGGGAAGGGTCAGGAAGGGAGGCCCCAGTAGATGCCACAGGCTTGTCCTTCACAGAGACGGGGCCAAGGCCCATCCTTCCTGGCAACACCCCTGGGCTGCGGAGATACACAGCCCTCAGGGGCGAAGCACAGTCAGCTGTGAGCCCGCCTCAGTAAACACTCCAGGAAAGGAGGGCGGGCTGTGCCAGGTGTTGGCCAGAACAGGCACAAATCTCCGAGGCCTGGTCGGGGGGCTCCAGGATCCTGGGCTTTGTCAAGGATGTCTTCCAGCACAGCCTGGGAAGCCAAGGATGTCCAGGAAGTGCCATCCCAGCTTCCTGTGGGCAGGAGAGAGAGGTTTTCATGCAGGAAAGGGGCCTCATTGCCCCAGTGGGAACTGGGCCACAGACAGAAGTCATGCACACAGATACTTGCACACATTCACAGGTACACACACACACACACACACACACAGGTCCTCACACACACAGAGATTCTCACACACACACAGATTCTTACACAGGTCCTCACACACACACAGGTACACACATACACATATACTCACACACACACACAGGTCCTCACACACACACAGATTCTCACACACACACACAAGTCCTTACACAGGTCCTCACACACAGGTACACACACACACAGATGCCCTCATACCCACATACACAGGTCCTCACACACAGGTACACACACGCACAGATGTCCTCATATACACGCACACAGGTCTTCACACATACACACAGGTCCTCACACACACACACACACACACACACAGGTCCTCACACACACACACTCACACAGGTCCTCACACACACACACACAGAAATCCTCACACACACACAGACCCTCACACACACACACAGGTCCTCACACACAGGTACACACACACACAGATGCTCTCATACACATGCACACAGGTCTTTACACACACACACACAGGTCCTCACACACACACACAGGTCCTCACACACACACACACACACAGGTCTTCACACACACACAGAGGCCCTCATGCACACACACTCGGACACTGAGCACCAGGGTCCACCATGCTGCCTTGTTCCTGAGCCTTAGCCCACACCCTCTGCTCCAGTGACCTTCCCTTTCATGCACCCAGCAGCTCCTGCCCCTCCTTTCTGCTCTATGCATCTTCCTTGAGTGCCCAGAAAACACAGTGCACCCCCTGTCCCTGTGTGCCTTCCCACTCAGGACCCACACGCAACTGTCTTCCAGGAGCCCACAGCTACTCCAGCCAGGGCCAGTCCCATCCATGTGGATGCCTGCAGACACCATGACAAAGGTGCACCCAGGTTCTGGCCTAGGACCAGAACAGGTGGGGGTGGGGAGGGTGAGGTGAATCTTAGCATCAGAATGGCTTGGGGTTACATAAACCCCGACCTTTACATGTACTCCAATCAAAATTCCAGCTGAGTTGCTTTTGTCTATCTGTCTGTCTTTCTGTCTATTTTTGAGATCCATTTACAGCTTAGACACTTTTGAAGTGCAAAGTTTAGGGAGACTCTCCCTCTAAACGTTAACATATACACAAAAGATTACTGAAAAAGCATGTTATGCCCTGGCCAGGCGGCTCAGTTAGTTGGAGAATTATCCCATACACCAAAAAGGATGCAGGTTCACCCTGGCCGGTTTGGCTCAGTGGTTAGAGCATCAGCCTGCAGTCCTGAGAGACCCGGGTTTGGTTCCCGCTAGGGGCACATACCTCAGTTGCAGTTTGTCCCCGGCCCTGGTTGGTCGTGCGGCTGGCAACCACTCAGTGTGTCCCTTTTGCGTTGATGTTTCTCTCTCTCTCTCCCTCCCACTCTACCTGAACAAAAAATGGAAAAATGTCCTCGGGTGAGGATAAATATTTTAAAAAACGATGCAGGTTCAGTTCCCATACCCAGGTCACCATTCAATCCCTGGTCAGGGCAACCAATCAATGTTTCTCTCTCTCTCTCTCTCTCTCTCTCCAATGAAAACATATCTTCAGGTGAAGATTGTGTTTTTTAAAACATGGGGCAGGAGGCCATGCAAAGACAGGCAGAAACCAGAGTGATGTCAGTTGTCTCCAGACCTCCCTGGAGCCCTCAGATGGAGCTCGGCCCTGCTCCCACCCTGACTGCAGGCTGCTGGTCTCTAGAATGGGAAAGAGCACATACTTGTGGCATTAAGGCACCAGTTGTGCAACTTTGTAACAGGAGCTGCAAGGCACTCACACAGCTGGTGACAGGGTTCTCACACCTCTGCAGGCACAAGCCTGGGGGTAAATAGTGATGAATTTGGCCACATGGAAATGAAGAACTTCTGCTGAACAAAACACATGTGATGAGCAGTGTGAAGAGACAGAGACTCACTGGAAGGTCATTGCAAGTTTAGCATTCAGGGACTAGCACTCAGGAGGACTGCCTTGCAGATTCCCAAGAAATTTCCCAGAATAGGCAATGGTAATGCTTTAGAAGGCATGGTGAGGACAAAGACAGAGAAGTACGGAATGCGCCCAAGTGTCTGAAGAGATACTCTATCTCATTAGTAACGGGAGCATTTATATCAGAACAGGAGACACCACGCTGCAGCCTTCAGACGACACTTTCTAGAGATCGGAACACAGTACCTCGGGGAAGGCAGAGGTTGTGCAGGGTAACCCTGCGGTGGGAAGAATGGCAGGGAGACGGGGGTGGTCAGTCAGTCTCAGGCAGGAGGCAGGTCCAGGCCAGTCCTCAGGAACAGGAGCTATGTGGGGGTAGTGAAGCTTCTGCAGATCTGCATCTGGGGTCACAACAAATGTTAACAAAGGGGTCAGCTGGTCTCACTGTCCAGGAAAACTCTGGGACCTGCTTTCCATCATGGGTATTGGAGCCCCCAACTAAGTCTGGGGTTCTGAAGGCTGCTGGTGTCCTGTGCATAAAGGTCTGAGAAACAGTTTTAGCCTGGTTCTCTCCAAGCAGCCCACTAGCCAGAGCTGACATTGATCGTTGGTCACACCACAGGCCCCAACACTGGGTCCTGGCCTCCAAGGGAGGCTACAAACTGCTCAGGCTCAAAGCTTGCCTCCCCCTACACTGTCTGGCCAGGCTTCAAGTGACCTCCACGTAGCCCCCATACTCCAGTTCCTTGGGATCTTCTTCTGGGCCCACCTACACAGGGTCACTAAGGAGCAGGAGGACTCCAGGCCTCCCCATGTCCTCCACACTGTGGGATCAGCTCCAGGCCTCCCATGTCCTCCACACAGTGGGATCAGCTCCAGGCCTCCCATGTCCTCCACACAGTGGGATCAGCTCCAGGCCTCCCATGTCCTCCACACAGTGGGATCAGCTCCAGGCCTCCCCACGTCCTCCACACAGTGAGGCCAGCACTGAGGGATCCTATGGACACCAGGCAATACCACTCACCTGGGCCAGCTGCATACATACAGATGGGCAGTAGGAGAGCATACCTTCCCCCAGCTCCTCCAGACACACATAAATGCACACAAAGAGACACATTCACAGCACATGTCACGCAGATGAATGCACTCACACACAACATGTATGTATAAGTATGAGCAGAGATAAACACTCATACCATACAGACACATGCACCCACATGTGTGCACAGTGCACACATATGTATGCGCTCATAGATAAATGCATGTAGCACAGAAATGCACATGTATGCATGCAGAGAGGCATATCCACGTGTCACAGGTTCATGCACTCACATGTGTGTATATACAGAAAACGTGTACATGTCACAAAGGTGTGTGCACTCACATGTGTGCACACATATGTATGCACACCAAGAGACATGTGTGTGTGCATGGCACACAGGCACACATGTGTGCACACATAGGTACATGGAGACACGTGCATGTCAATAAATTTATGCACTCACATTTATGTGCCCAGCTGAGACACAACTCATTTAGATGCAGACTCTGTCCTGAGTCCTGAAGAACAGGAGTGACAGGTACGGTGACAACAGGGGCGCTGAGGAGTCTGGGGCAGGCAGTACCCGTGGGTAGGGACATTCAGGCCCAGCCCTGGACAGAAGGGGTGGCTCAAAGACAATCCCCTCAAGGCTGGAGCAGAAGCAGCCCCAGGAAAAGGCAGCACAGACATGTGTTCTCAGAGCTGAGCCAACCTATGAGAACTATTCTC